TGATGCTTTTGAACTGTGGTGTTGGAGAAGACTCTTGAGAGTCCCTTGGACTGCAAGGAGATCCAACCAGTCCATCCTAAAGGAGATCAGTCCTGGGTGTTCATTGGAAGGACTGATGCTGAAGCTGAAACTCCAGTACTTTGGCCACCTCATGTGAAGAGTTGACTCATTGGAAAAGACCCTGATGCTGGGAGGGATTGGGGGCAGTAGGAGAAGGGGACGACAGAGGATGAGATGGCTGGATGGCATCACTGACTTGATGGGCATGAGTTTGAGTCAACTCCGGGAGTTTGTGATGGACAGGGAGGCCTGGCGTGCTGAGGTTCATGGGGTTGCAAACAGTCGGACATGACTGAGCAACTGAACTGAACTGACATGTCATCTATGAAAACACAGAGTATCTCAATCCCACTGGGGCAGAGAAAATCTATGCCCTCTGAGTCCATCCTTGAATACGAAGATCAATAACACAGACACAGAGAGAGCTCATTCATTTTAATAATTGAGCGCAATTTTGATAGTTCTTCCCAAGAATTATTTCCCAGGGCCCCCCTCTCCCAAACTATTCACACACAACATCTACAAGTATTCAAATTTAATAAACACAATGTTGCAAAAGCAAAAGAAATAAGAAACGCCTTCATAGCTTTGAGATTAAAAATAATGCTTAATAGTTCTCTCAGTAACTGTTACTAAATACTAAATGCTAAAAAGGCTGCATGGGCAGCCAGCAGCTGGGGAGCAGGAAGGAAGCTCTTATAATGACAAGGATGTTTACACTCATTTTCCATCTTATAACCAGGAAACACAGGGCGTAACTCTCTGGGTGTCAAAAATAGAAAACCCTGGAGAAATATTTTCAGAGCAACAAATGAAGTTGGTTTTACTTATGCCACATAGGGAGCAAGGGCCCAGATTCTCAGACTCCCTGTAACCCTGGTCCCCCTTCTGACTCGCACTTTGTCATAAAGAAATGAAACCACAAATATGGAGCCTGAGTCATAGCAATAGCACAATACAAATTTGTTGAATGAATGAACTGATACCTCAGGTGCAGTGTGAATGGGGTGGACCTAATTTTCTCTTTGAAGAAACAGTCCTGGACATCGTGGGGAAATGACCTTCCCAAAGCAAGCCTGACTTGATGCCCTCAGTGCCCTGGGCATCCTGGGGACCCAATGGAAGAACTGAGTTCTTTCTAGTTCAGCTCGGTCCCCTGAATAGGCCCACTCAGCATCAAATTTGTGGCCAGAATTTCAGATTCAATACTTTATGTGATCAAAATAAAATGAGTATGTATATGGCTCCTGCAATTACATTCAATACATACAAGACTTTAAGAAATCTGGGGTAGAAAGTGACCCCCTTCCCCTACCCTTCCCTTTTTTTTTTTTTTTTTTGACTTTCTCTAACTTTCCTTCTATTCTCTCCCTCCTTCCCTCCCTTTTCCTCCTAACCTGGTCTTCTGCCCTTCCCCTCTGCTCCTTTCTCCTTCTTTCTCATTATTAAAGTTGACTACTTCTAAATATCTGTGGCCCCAGAGAATATAACAAATAAAGCTGTTTTTAGTTCCCAGAAATAGGAGCAGTTACATTAACCATGATTTAGAGATTCTTGGACTCATGAATATCCAGAATATGCTATTGGATATGAATTCAAAAGCTACATAGTAAGCTAGGGATTTTAGTTTCTGGGATGTAAATTTTATCATGATCATGATTATAGAAGGATAAATCATTAGTTACACCAGTAAGATCAATTTTGCATGTGTATTTAAGTAAAACAAAGGGTGGATGCTATTTAAAGCAGATGTCAGATACATATTTGTCACAATTCTTAATTTCAATTTCACAAGTGCTGGCTGGAGAGGACTGTTTTGGGCAATAAATTAGTTTTCATTTCTCTCATAGCATCAGGAGCAGGACCAAAGGAGCCAGCCAGAGTTATGAGAGGAGTTCATTTCTCTGCCTTCATCTCCCTTTGGTGCAATGCTTCAAATAAGAGTGTTTGGACAGGACAACCTATTGGTTACTAACCTTAGCCTGTTCTGTACCTTTAAGAGAATCAGGCTCTGCACTGGGAAGACCCAGAGGGATCAGGTGGAGAGGGAGGTGGGAGGGGGGACTGGGATGGGGAATACATGTAAATCCATGGCTAATTCATTTCAATGTATGACAAAAACTACTGTAATGATGTAAAGTAATTAGCCTCCAACTAACAAAAATAAATGGAAAAAAAAAAAAAAGAGAATCAGGCTCGTTTGGTCAACTAGAGTATTGGAAGTGATTTCCTCAGATAATACTGTTTAAGGCTTTCAGTTGATTCTACCTTGGCACTGTATGGTTCTAAATGTTTTTTCATTCATTCATTCAGTTAACTTTCAATGAGTATTCACTCTTTGTCAAGCACCAGTGTAAATGGTGGGTCATACATACATCCAGTCAGTGTAATATTCTTTTTTTAGGAGAAATCTCTGACCCAGTTAGGCTGCTCTATTGGTAAACTGGAGGATGTTGTCACTATTAAGTGATGAATCACTCTCAGTATAAATTACCTCCTACTTGGAAAATTTCCTTCAATAGGACAGTAGTGATAACAAAGATGACACAAAAGGGAATATGAATAATTATTCCCTGGTTTGCTTCTTCTTTGGGGGAGTATACCAACCAATTTCCAGGCAACCTGCTATTGCTGAAAGATCACCAAACCTAGAGGCAGATGGCCTAGAGCCAGTCTCAGCTTTAATCTTAGGGAGGTTACTTCACCATTTTGAACCTTTTTTTCACCCTGAAAACTGAGTCTGAGAATCTTTGCCCTACCTTTCTCTGGCATTACTGTGAAGGGAAAAAAAAAAATGAAAAAAAAAAGTTTATATAATTGCTCTGAAAACCACAAAGCTCAATACAAATGCAAATTTATCACCATTAAAAATCTTTGACATTCCTTTCAGGGAAAGTCATCATATCATAGTTTCTTTTTCTTTTAAGTAAGGAACTTATATTATCCACTAGCATTACTTGGTTATTCAGTGGTACAACCCACATTCATTTCCTCATGGAAGGGACCAGTTAGAAGTTTTCCTTGTTGAAAATGAAATGCACTCCCCTGGGGCCAGAGTCGGAGTTGGAGATGCACTGCTTATTAAGGGTGTCAGCCAAGGCTTCCGGTCCGCAGAGGAAGACTCCTATTCTGGTACTTTTGGGGAGAAAAAGAGAAAGAAAAAGACAGTTTTAGGCTTTGGGATGGGATCAATTACAAAGCACATGGGGAGATTTCCTATTGATTTTAGGCCTTAGAGCAGAGTCTCCTCAGCTCCTTTGTCTTTCCACAAATGACAGAGTTCAGGTGGCCCTCAGGAGGGTGGCTTGGTCCTGTTCACGGGGGCAGCTGGCTACTTCAAAAGGCAGCTGATTTTATTGAAAAAAAAATGACATTCAAGCAAGGTTTATGGAAACTTCTACCACAGAGAAAATGGTGGTGAAATTGTGAGTCTGTGGTCTACTTCCTTTCAGGGCTCTGTGTTCTCAAACACTCCAGCATCTTTTTTTAAAAAAAAAATTATTTTGACCACACCATGGGACATGTGAGAGCTTAGTTCTGTGACCCAGGATCGAACCACACCCTCCTGTACTTGAAGCGCGGACTTTTAACCATTGGACCACCAGGGAAGTCCCTCCAGTGTCTTAAAATCAGGAACAAACCCGCCTTAGGAACGGCAACTCTGCTAACAACTTCGTGCGGCTTCGTCCTTCAACTTTTTAGACTCTAAAGCCTTGTTCCTCTAGCTGTGGTTTCAGACCAGTAGCCCTGGTGTCAGCTTTTCAAGAATACATATTATTGAAGTAGGTCAGCTGTGTTTTTAAATTGTTATGACTTCACACTTTTTTCAAATCTGCCCTAAAATATCTGTTTGGCTTAAATGTCAAAGCTGTGATGATTTGTTCTTTGATGTGACTGTATTTCCAATTCCTTGTTCATGTTAAGATTTCAAGAAAACTCAAAAAGCCATTCAAAGCCAACAATGCAGATTCTTGGGCCCCACCCCACATATACTAAATCAGCATTTTAGAAAGCTCCTCCAAGTGATTTACATGTTCATTAAAGTGTAAGAAGCAATGACATAGTGTATTTATGGTGATTTCTTGAGTTTGTCATGTGTTCTAACAAGATAAAATATCTCCTCAAAGCATCATAATGACTAAACCTTTAGTTAGGGCAGGAAAGACCTGGGGTATCTGTCAACTTATGATCTAGGACCCAAAAGCTATATATGAAAATGGGGCCAGTGTCTCCTTAGTAAACAATATAAATCTTGTTGAATTAATAGAAGCAGATACATGAGTGAAATTTAGGGGATAAAAGCAAAGAATTGAGTTACGGGCCTACTTGGGGGCAGCAGGGTTCAGAAAGTCTGAGGTGGGGCCTGGGAATCTTTGTTTGGAACTCACCAGTCAATTCTGGGTGTGATTTAAAGACTTCTTCTTAAAGTGAGAGATATTTAGAACCTTTTATGAGTGTGAATATAGTTATCTAGATATTTTAGTTTCCATGGTAAGCCTAAAGAACACTCTTTTGGGGGAACTCCTTACTTGGGGTGTTGACTTCCAATGGTCTTGAACTCGTTATCCCAGTTGGGTCGTCCATACAAGGTCTTTTGTTTCAGGCCTGTGATTACATCTTTCTCCTCGTCATGATGCACAGCAAAGTGACTGGCCTGCAGGAAAGGACATGAATTCAGAAAAAAGAGGCATGCTCTACAAACACACACAAACCAAGCTCTAACTACCCATTCTAAATGTACATATTTGAAGCAAGGCATTATGCCAGAAGCTAGAAGGTCAATAACACTGAATACACTGATTTCAAGCCATTTATAGTCTAGAAAGGGAGACCTTGAAGTAAAAAGGTGGGCAATCCTGTTTGTAGACTAAGGTTCCATGAATGCCATAGAGGAGGCACAAACATCTCCATGAGAACAAAGAAGGGAGGACAAGCGGAGGATATGAGAAGGTCTCAGGGTGGCAGCATTTGAGCCAGACTTTAAAGTGTGGGTATGATTTAAATTCTGTTTCACTGTTTTTCTCTCTGCAGTACATCTAGCAGTCCATCCCGAATATACTCCCACTGTTTTGAGAGAATCACTAAAAATTAAGACAATCATAGATTAAAATGCACTCATATTTTGCTAATGTAATGAGACATCAAACCAAGCCTAAAGCTATTAATAGTCTGTGTGGGGGTGGGTTGGGTAGGGGTTGCTTTCTGTTACCATTCCAGGGAGCCTCAGTTTGAACCACAGGTATTTTTTAGTAAAAATGGTTAATCAAATTTAACAATTAAATCAGATTTTAAATTTACTGGACAGAGGATGGATAATGGGGATGGAAGAGGTTAAGAAGGCTGGTTTCTCTGGTTTAATAATCCTATAGACTCAAAGTTTTGCAAAGCAAAAGAATTATTTTTCAATGCAAAAAATTTCCCATTAAAAAAAACCTGGCTTTTAAAAAAAACAGAACTGCAGAGCAATTTATATATTATACATTTTTGCCCCTGGGTTTCATTTTTATCAAATTTTGTTGTTGTTATGTCTTTAAATTGCAGAAGTGACATCTTAAAACCACTTTTCTAGAGCAGCAATTTTCATGGTCATGTGGCCCGGGACCTATGTTTGTGGGACCTATGGGACCTACAAGACTTACCGAAGACTTGGAGAATTTATGATAGGCAATATGTCAAAACCTGAATGAGAAGAAGTCAGTTTTCACAGGTACAATGTATATGTGAAAAATGTCTCTGATGAGGAGCCAGTGTGTGGGTGTGGCCAGCTGAGCCAGTAACCAGAAACTCTTGCCTTAGCTCCTCACTGAGGACAGTTATGCTGCTTCTGGGCCAAGTCATTAACCTTTGCTTATTTAGAAACATGTTACCTGCTAGGAATCATTAACTTGTTTCTAAGTTTCTCAGTCTCATCACTTTAGACATTTGAGGCCAGATAGTTCTTTGTGGCGGAGAAGGAAATGGCAACCCACTCCAGTACTCTTGCCTGGAGAATCCCAGGGACGGGGGAGCCTGGCAGGCTGCAGTCCATGGGTTCGCTAGGAGTTGGACATGACTGAACGACTTCTTTCACTTTTCACTTTCACACATTGGAGAAGGAAATGGCAACCCACTCCAGTGTTCTTGCCTGGAGAATCCCAGGGATGGGGGAGCCTGGTGGGCTGCCGACTTTGGGGTCACACAGAGTCGGACACGACTGAAGTGACTTAGCAGCAGCAGCAGCAGTTCTTTGTGGTGGGGGGTTGTCTTGTGAATTGTTATCTTATCAATACTTGTAGCTGTAATTGTTTTATCCATTGAAAATTCACAATTTCATTGCTAAATGTCTCAGGAGGGAGTATATATACATATGTGTATATATACATATATACATATGTAGTACATGTGTATATATACATATATACATATGTAGTACATATGTATATATACTACACACATGTATACATATATACACACATATATCACCTTCATTAGATATATACTGATTTATTTACAAACGGTTATCATGAACTACTGGAAGTGGTTAAGAGTGCAGGTCCTGGCACATTTATCACTTGGATGCCCTTGGACAAATGACCTAAGCTGTTCTGGGTCTTGGCTTCTCTATCTGTAAAATATGGATAAGAATAATAGCTACTTATAAGGTTGTTGTGAGAATTTAATTAGACAATCTATATAAACACTAAGAAGAATACTTGGCACAAGCATATGCTGAAGAACTATTACCAGTTATTATGACTCCTTATTAAATGTATTATGTATATTATAAAACATACATAATACAAATTAAAGGAATAAATACCCATATATATGCATGTGTATACATATTTATGGGCTTCCCAGGGGGCTCAGCGGTAAAGAATCTGCCTGCCAATGAAGGAGACACAGGTTTGATCCCTGGGTCTGGAAGATCCCCTGGAGTAGGAAATAGCAACCCCACTCCAGTATTCTTGCCTGGGAAATCCGAGGGACAGAGGAACCTGGTGGTTTACAGTCCATGGGGTCACAAAAGAGTTGGACACAACTTAGTGACTAAACAACAGCAATATACATATACATGTATACACACACACACACACACACACACACATATACACACATACACACACACACACACACACAGAAGGAGAGTGAAATAAAGCTAATATTTTCTTTTCTTCCCATAACCCAGTGGATCATCTTATCCACCTGGTTCAATACCCCTGGTGGGAGCATTGCTCTAACAAGGTCACAGTCATGGCTCTGACTTCTTTGTAGGCTCACTAGCTTTGACCTGTCCCACAGATACCAACTTTGAATTTAGTCTCAACAGTCTGAACATATGGGCATACTGAGTCAGAGTGAATGCGGTGGATCACCTAAACCCACTGACTAGTCTTAAAACCAGTACACAAGACACTCCAATAGCCAATGGGAAGTCGGTAAGCCCTGGGTGCTATGGGAGAGAACTGAGATTGGGGATCTTGTCCTTACCTGAGACTCATCCCAGCCAGTGAGGTAGATATTGTAGCTGAGGAAGCCCGAGTTGTTCTTCTCCTGCATCTGGGTTTCCAGCAGCTGCAGCAGGTCCGCAAACCACTCAAAGGCATGTGTGTCCCGGCACAGCCAGTAGAAGTAGATCTGAGAGGGGGGACAGACCGTGAAGCAGATAATTTGCTGTTCAGTCATTCAGTCATGTCCAACTCTTCGCAACCCCATGGACTGTAGCATGCCAGGCATCACAGTCCTTCATCGTCTTCCGGATTTTGCTCAAACTCATGTGCATTGAGTTGATGATGCCATCCAACCATTATATATATTTTTTATTTTTAAATTGAAGTATAGTTGATGTATAGTATTATATTAATTACAAGTGTATAATAGAGTGATAAACAATTTCAAAGGTTATATCCCATTTATAATTATTATAAATCATTGGCTATATTCCCCATTCTGTATATCCTTGTAGCCTATTTTATTTCTAATAGTTTGTATCTCTTGATCCTCTCCCCTTATGTTGCCCTTCCCTGTCCCTTCTCCCCACTGGTAACCACTATTTAGTTCTCTATATCTGTGAATTGAGTAGATTATATTTAAATAGAGACCTATCAGCATTGACATATGGATTTCTACCCTCCCACCTTCCACTTTTCCCTGTTGCTCAGAATGTCTAGAAACATAGGTTTTCAGAAAACTCTAGATATTTGACAAACTAGCTCGCATGAACCTGCTCTGGCCTTTACATGGCAGGACAGTAAATAAACAGCTTGTTCTCAGAAATCTGTAGCTTAAGAAGAAAACATGAGCCCACCACTTGCCCCCTGGGACTGCTCTTGCCTCCCAGAATTCCTCACTTCCTTGGATTCTCCTTTCAGAAAGATCAGTAGGATGCAGATGAGCCATGGTTGCCACCATGCAACTTCCCTGCCTGCTACACCAGACACCTCTGAGCTCTAGGGGAAAAAGTAGTTATACCCACACCTCCTCAACATCGAAAAGAGGGGAAGGGAGAATGAGAGTCAAAGTAAGCTCCATGTGCCTACTAGAGGTTATCTCTCAGGAAGATCCCCTGGAGAAAGAAATGGCAACCCACTCCAGTATTCTTGCCTGGGAAATCCCATGGACAGAGGAGCCTTCTGGGCTACAGTCTATGTGGTCGCAAAGACTTGGACACAACTTAGCGATAAATAACAACAGTTATTAGAGTGACTCAAGCTTTATTAAAGATGTCGTTTCTCAGGCAATGAAACCCAATTTACATGGGACCAAAAATTCCCCTGGGATTTTACTCTGAGGAGACAGCCATAGAAAGTAAAAAAGTAAAAGTGTCATGAAAGGACATGTCTCCTGCCCTCCCCCTGCAAATAAATGTGGGGGAGGAGTGACTGGAAATGGAATCTACCTCAATATCTAATAGAAGATGATAGAAAAATTATTCTATATCCTCTCAATGGAACATGAAGGACTCATCAAAAATGATTATTAGCAAGTTTGTGACAACACTGAAAAACACTATATGTTTTCAAAAGAGTGGGACATGAAATTGTACATACTCAATATATGCAGCTTTCTAAAAATGTATAAACAAGTGGAAAAATGTTGGAAGAGAATTTACCAAAAGGAGAATTACTGGATTGGGACTGTGAAAACTTTAGCTCTCTCTTCTGAATTTCTAGTAATACTACACAAATACGGTATACGACTTTCAATAATAGGCCTGATTCTATAGAACCACATTTATTTGTTTGTTTGTTTGGTGGTGCTGCGAGGCTTGAGGGATCTTAGCTCCCCAACCAGGCATCGAACCCAAAACCCATGGCAGTGCAAGTGCTGAGTCACCACTGGAACACCAGATAAGTCCCAGAGACACCTTTAATTTATCAAATAGCCCTCTTGTGAGAAGCCTGCCTCTCTGAAACCACCCAGAACTGTCTTCACTTCGCCTGATCTCTGCCAGCCACTGCCCTGACGGCTGTTTGAGGCTTCACTTGGCAGAGTGTGATGACCAGTCCAAGCTCTTTGAAAAAAAGAAAGAACCTACCTTTTGGAGCCTCAGATTTGGGGCTTTATTGCAATATTTGTACCAGACCGACTTGAGGATGGATGCAAAGGGCGTGACCCCGATCCCTGCTCCCACTAACATCACCACCTCGTAACTGAACACATCCTCACTTGCGGTGCCAAAGGGCCCATCAACAGCTATCCTGGAGGGAAGCATGGGGGGAGATGGTTACACAGATGTCTTGCTCTTCAGAGGTGGAGGGGGCACACATTATCACTGGGGGTGTGCAATACATCACTTTAAACCGGGACAATGTATTGATGATGTGGCACTTTCTTCTGTGAGATGGCTTTCAAGTAACCAACTTGGTGTGAACATTGGGATTGGAAGTAAGAAGAGGAAATTTTAGCTAACTGAAAACATGCGGTAACTCTTAGGGGTATTTTTTCCTGTACCTCCTTTCACACATCAAACACACACACACACACTCCACATACACACTCACACACATATGTCTGTGTTTTGCCAGGGCAGCCTGCACTTGAAATTCTTGCACATTAAAGTGAGAATTCTCCATACTGTAATATCTAATAAATTTATTATCTCCACTTTCCATTTGTCTAGTCATTGAGTTATTTGACCAAGTTTTCTTCAGCATCTACTAAGTACCTGACACCATGTTAGGCATGTGGGAAGAAGGAGGCCCACCGAGTAATATCTGGCATGCATGCATGCTAAGTCACTTCAGTCGTGTCTGACTCTTTGCGACCCTATGGACTGTGGCCCGCCAGGCTCACCTGTCCATGGGATTCTCCAGGCAAGAATACTGGAGTGGGTTGGTATGCCCTCCTCCAGGGAATCTTCCCGACCCAGGGATCGAACTAGAGTGTCTTATGTCTCCTGCATTGGCAGGTGGGTTCTTTACCACTAGCACCTCCCGGCATTTCCCCTCAAATAATGTACAGCAATTAAATTTTAAGTATAGCTTTGATTTAAAGTTAATATACCTTGACCTTGACCCTTACAAATGTAAAGGCATTGGGAAATATCCATGATTAACATATGATTCAAATATTTTATATTTTACATAAGATTTATACAATATGCATAAATAGCTTCCCTGGTGGCTCAGATGGTAAAGAATCTGCCTGCAATGCAGAAGACACAGGAGACCAGGGTTCGATCCCTGGGTCGGGAAGATCCCCTGGAGAAGGACATGGCAACCCACTCCAGTATTCTTGCCTGAAGAATTCCATGGACAGAGGAGCCTGGTGGGCTACAGTGTATGGGGTCTCAAAGAGTCGGACACGACTGAAAGACTAACACTTCACCACATGTAAGATGGGGAACACAGAGATCGTTACTTCTGTTTGTAGAATCCGTGTATTTTGTCAAGACTCAGGGGCTACTGGAATAAGAGATGTGAGAAGCAAAGCTATTTAGTGACATTTTTCCTGAACTCATGCACCTTTGTAACAGGCACTCTGTACTCACTTTGGTAGTTTCCAGGCATCTTGAAACTCCTGCTTATCACAGCCACAAGCATTGAAGAGTCCCTCTGTCCAGTCCCCCACGATGCGGATATGGATGCTAAAGAAGTCTTCCTCAGGGGCAGAGGTCAGGGTGAAAGGGTGCCACTCCAGCCTGGACACCATGGGACACTTGACGAAAATGTATTGGCCCACCTCCATCTTGAATCCCTTCTTCTTCATCTGGAGCTCAATGGTTTTGAAAGGGTGAGTGACCACCTATGGAAATAAAACATGTCTCTGGAAATGCCCCTTTCTCCCAGTACTTGTCCTGTTAGTGTCTGTATGGATAAGAGGCTGAGCAAAGAGGCCTCACCCATGTCCCTTCTTCAGGGCCAACAGAGTAGTTCTTCCAGCAAACGAATCTCTTACTGGGAAGAGCCCTCGGCTGTAGCCAGTGGCCCACAATGAGCTCTGATGCAGGGACCCAAAGGCCTGGCCCTTGTCCTCACTTTGGGACAACTCCCGGGGGCCATCCCAGCTCCAGCACTTCCTGTAGGATCCGCTGAGGCTGCAGTTGCAACCACTTTGACAGCCACCCATTTCCTTCCCTCAGTCCTGCCTTTTTTCTTTTACAAGTTCATCTCCTGAGAACCTGCCTCAGTAAGTTTTCTGCATGCAGTTCTCTGTCTGAGTCTTGGCTGGGGAATTCACCCTAAGACTCCAGCTTATTGTGATTTTTTCTTTTCCTCTAAGAAATCAAGGCAGTGGCTAGAAACAGGAAGAAGAGATGGTTTTCTACTCAGCCTTCCTGTTTCCCTAGGGGATGATCAAGAGTCTCAGCAGCCAGACAGAGGCAGAAGGCGACCCCATTGACTAGTTGTATAGCAACGTCCCCCAAACCAAGCCTAAGGTGCTGGTCTGTCTTTGTCCCAAGTCCCACCTTGAGCCTGCCTGATTTCATGCATTGTTTCTGTTTCTCTCTACTTGGGGAGTACACCTTCCATCTCTCCCAAAGCCAAGCCCCACCCACCCATTGTTCATTCTCCATGTACCTGAATGTTCATAATAGCTTTGTTTACAATAGCAAAAAAATTTGGAAACAGTCCAAATGCCCATCAACTGGTGAGTCGGTAAATAAAAATAAAAATAGAACACAACAAAATGCTTTCATTGTAATATGCTGTTTCTGTGATGATTCCTGAGATCTTAGAAGGACTTTATATGCACAACAGAAAACAAACCAAGGGACATCAAGGGAAAGGAAAATCAATAGAAACAAAATAGCAGTCTCCTAACGTTAACTGAGGGGCTTCTCTGGTAGCTCGGTGGTAAGGAATCCACCTGCGATGCAAGAGACTTAGGAAACACTGGTTCAATCCCTCGGTTGGAAAGATCCCCTGGAGGAAGGCATGGCAACCCACTCCAGTATTCTTGCCTGGAAAATCCCATGGACAGAGGAGTCTGATAGGCTACAGTCCATGGGGCTGCAAAGAGTCAGACATGACTGAAGGGACTGAGCACAATGTTGACTGATACTGCTGAGCTTTTCTTTTCATGAGTGAGGAGTAGGAGAATGGGAAATCCTTTGAAGAAAAATTGTCAAATGTTTCCAAAGTTTGTGATCCAAATGTAACTTAAATGACAAGGCTGCAACCCATGTCCCTTCATCATTGAATTAAGGAGGTGTAAAGCTTCATTTTGAAAACAGAAAATAAAGATTGATGAAAATGACTTTGAAAATTATGCTGCTCACATTGCAATTTTGTGTGGTGAAAGTGATTTTTACCATATTGCAATGTTGCCACCGCAGGCAACACTGGGACAGGAGGGAGTAAAATGTCCTAGTGGACAACACAGTCACAAAATACTTTTGGATAGTACTTCGTTTCTTACATGTGTTGACATGAGAAGAAAACGGATATTCATTTTATTCACAGGAAAACAAGTGTGCCTTAGAAATAGGCCAAGCAGAAATACTTGTCTGGTTAGCTCATTTTAGTCGAGTAAGGGAAATTTTGTGGTGGCTCTTTTTGCTGATCTGTGGGCTTTTTCTCATACAATATAAATATCATAAAAGGAGAACTGTTGTGGCTTCCTATATTTCAAGATCTCCACTGCCAGCTGGACTACATTCCTATGACCTTCCATAGAGGTCCAGAAAGAAGAGGTAGGTGGACAGGAAGGTTTTGTGTGTTTTGCAAAAGCAACCCATGGTAAACTTTGGTAACTACTTTCTGAACTGAATTGAATTCAACTTTATTTGATAAAAATAGTCTTGTCTGATGTTTCCTGAAACTATAATAAGGTGATTCTATTTCTATTTATTTATTTAGATATTTATTTATTTAGTGATAAGAAGTGGCATGGACATGAGGGGAATAAACTGCTATATATTTGAAGTTACCAGACTCAACTCTCAATGAAGTTTAGTTAGCTTACTGAAGACTTTGAAGACATTACCTCTGATATTCTGTTACTACATATAAAGCACAGCGAAGGAGGCAAAGAGGACCTGGTGAATGATCTCTATCTCAGTAAGACCTGCCCTGGTTCCTGGATTCTTTCGGCATCTGAACATTTTAAGGCTCAATAAATGACCTTTGTGACCTTTTGAACTCATCTCTTTTGCTTCTTTACTCTTAACTAATTACATCATCCCTCATGCCTCTCCCCTTAACACACACACACACACACACACACAAATTCATTTACATGAAACATTTGTGTTCATTTTTCAACAGAAAATGTTAAATTCTAGTTTCCCCAATGAAAAGATCCAATCATTTGATTATCAGGCTAGGGGCATTGAAACAAACCATAGGTCATCTCTCTGCCCTAAGTTTAATCAAAAGAAACCAAGTAAAAGACAGCTCTGACAGTGTTGTAGAGAACTTGGGTAGACTTGTCCATGATATAGTTAGACAGTCATTCCTAAGTCAGTGCCTACCTTGGTGATGACCACCTTCTGTTGAGATCGCCAAAACCGTACCAACCTCTCACAGAGATACAGGAACATGGGACCCACTATCCATTTCCAAGTCTGTAATCAGAACAAATAATGAAAAAAAGCATGTGTTAAGGGGTGGTAGTTAAAAAAAGATTCACAGGGACAAAACATTTCAGAAATGCAATTAACATTTGTGGGCTTGTTTAAATATTTGATATTGTATTAGTAAATTTCTTCTATAAGAGAATGCATGAAAATACCTAAAGTTAAAATAAATTTCTGAGCCAGTAAAAATGAAAATTTTCTTTGGTCACATTGGGGAACTATATCTACAGTATGAAACTCTCCCAAGAGGAACTGCCCACAAGAATGGGATTTCCTCCTATTGTTGCAATAGGAGTTGAAATAGTCCTACAGCAGAGTAAAGTTGGTTTCGGAATTAACATTTCTCTAAAGGATAGCATTTCAACAACATCATATTTTTAATGTAACATTGCAATTACTTTCTCTCAGTCACATAGTCAAAACTTAATTCGTCACAAGATGAGAAATTTCATGTAAGAATTTAGCTGTTTTTCCAATATTCTGGCAAGTTCTCAGAGCTAAGCAATGCACTTGCTGAATAGGGACAGATCCAGAGATTTTCAGCTTTTTCTAAAGTCCCCTCTTGTCAGAATCTGCAATGTTTCAGACCACTGGAATTACTCTGTGGCATTGTTGGCTCTGTTTAGACCAAACAGATCCATCCTGGGATTCAGTCAGTTAGGTTCTCCTAGTTGAATATCTGAAGTAGCAAAGAATTTTAGTAGGTGATACCATCTAAAATATGACATTCCAGAAGGGATTCCAAGAGGGGAAGAAACCCCAGAGGACTTTCTGGACTCTCATGTATGAGCTTTCTATGAAAATTTTTAGGAAACTTATTTTTGGAAGTTGAGAGCACCCAAATAGACCTATCTCCAGTCAAAGTTGAAAAATATCTGCCCGGAGGTCATAAATTCTCTGCTACTGGCCTTCATTTTCATGGGACAGGTTTTTCAAACCATCCAACTTTATCCATCTATTTCCTGGGGGCCACCTGGGGCCACATTGAATGGAGCCAGGTGTTGGATATCACCTCTAATCTTCCCAGAAACCCAGGAGCATTTCTGAGGTGTCTGTTAAGGTAGTAGCATTCTGACTCTAGCTATCTTCAAGGAAATGTGCCTTCCCCAACTCATAAGAGGACCTGCAATACAGTTCCCTTTTAATCCTTTCTATTGATGTCTCGGGGCTTCCCTGGTGGCTCAGTGGTAAAGAATCCACCTGCCATGCAGGAGATGTGGGTTCAGTCCCTGAGTTGGGAAGATCCCCGGGAGAAGGAAATGGCAACCCACTCCAGTATTCTTGCCTGGAGAATCCCATGGACAGAGGAGCCTGGTGGGCTACAGTCCATGGTGCCGCGAAGAGTTGGATGAGACTGGGTGACTAAAACAACATCAACAACAACAACAACAACTGATGTCTCTATGTAGTGAGGGTAGTTCAGTGACGTGTCTGGTTACTTTCATTAATGAGTAAGGATGCTGAAAGATGTTAAGTCCTCAGACAGCATGATGTTTCTAGAGGAAGAGTACTCCTATATTAGGAGAGTAGGGAAAAAGGAAGGAGAAATGGGATGGGAAATTTGCCTTTATATTATACTGTGTTTAAGGACACAATTAATGATCCTTTTCAGAAAACCTGTACAAATGTTGATTTTTGCTTAGTTTTATACCAATAGCTAAGATAATAACTGATAATGTGTATTGCTTGCCAATGGGGGAAAAGGTATGAAAATCATGGGGTTCACTTCTCACTCTATGAAACAGAGATATTGAGAATAAACAAAATGGAGTTCTTGAGAGTTCCCAACAAAAGGGAAATATTTTAGCATCCTTTCCCTTGGTCACCCTTGCCACACTCCTGCTCTACCATGAAGTGCCATTGGGTGTTGGCATGAACCTAGCTCTCCAGTCTCCTTTATTCACAGACAGGACTTCTTGATACCTAACGGCAGCCCTATGTACCATCTTGCAAATTTCCACCCAGGTCTGAAAGCTGGATAGAAAATCTTATTTCCTGGTATCTGAAGAGTCTCCTGGCTCCTTATATTATAAATCATTATCTGAGCTTCCCAATTCAGCTCAGGATGGAATCCCTCTGAAAATCATTAACTGGTATTATCATGGCCATCTTATCCAGAAGAGATAGAAGTTCTTGAATCCAAATGCTCTTTAAAAAAACAATACTTTTCCAAGTTTTATATCAGGATGCTCATAACAGACTAATGTAAAAAGTAACCTTTAGGTTACTTTTCAAGAACTAATTCTAGACAATCAGCATAGCAGAAAAACACTGGATACTTATCCTAGCAGTTCTGTGACATTCATAATGGACAACTCTATGACATTTGTATGTATTTCTTAGACGCAGTTTGAAGATTGTAGGTAATGAAACTATAATAGCAACAGTGGGTTGTACGTACCATAGGAGGGTTCCCAGAGAACTCCGGGATTGGGCAGTTCTTTATTTTTCCCCACTGTGAGATGTTTTGATAACAGTTTCTTGGTTGGTGTTTCAACAAACTCGCGTCAGTCTGCCCACGTACAATCCGCCTGAGGAGGAAATGTAATTCCTGATCATTTAGAAATGAGACATTAAGTTCTTAATTTTTTGAGATTCTGAACATGTTTTTAGTATTCTAATATGGGTCTTATACTTTTCATTTAAAAGCAATATCTTGTTGTCCCCTCCAAATAGATTAGAGGAAGGGGAAAAATGCATGATCTTTAGCAATAGAAAAAAAATTATATGGGGACTTCCCTGGAAATCCAGTGGTTGAGATTCCAAACTGCCATTGCAGGGGATGTGGGTTTGATCCCTGGCCTGGGAACTAAGATCTCACATCCCACATCCCACATCCCACATGCTGGGCAGCATAGCCAAAAAAAGAGGAAAAGAATAAAAAGGAAAACCATGTATGGTGGCACAAAGGATATTTATATGTAACATTACATCTACAGGGTAAGTTTTGGATCATCCATACATATTTTTGAAAAACAAAACAAAACAAATGGTAACTATTAGAGTTCTTAATGCTCAAGATCACATGGGGAGTGATAGAAAAAAAAAAATCTGACTTTCTTCTCTTTCAGTGCCACGACCGGAAGTCAGAAAACTTGCATTTTAATCCCAGTTCAGCTGCTACCTAGCTATGAGACTAAGTAATCAGTCAACCAGTGTAAGTGGCAGATTCTCCTCAGATGGAGAACAGGGAACATATCTGTCCTCTGCCTGCTCCACAGTAAGATACATATCTATGAGGGACTTTCTTGGCAGTCCAGTGATTAAGTCTCTGCACTTCAAATGTAGGGGGCACAGATTCAATCCCTGGCTGGGAACTAGGATACCACATGATCCGAGGCCAAAAAAAAAAAAAAAGATACAAATTTATGAATCTATACAAATGTAAAGTGGTGGAATTACTCAGCTAGAGGGGGGAAGAGATTAATTTTTTTTCTCTAGGATTCTCTAAAACAACTGGATGATGACTGAGTCCCATTTAAAGATACTCATTGGTTTAAGAGGGTTTTCCAGTAGTCATGTATGGATGTGAGAGTTGGACTATAAAGAAGGCTGAGCATCAACGAATTGATGCTTTTGAACTGTGGCATTGGAGAAGACACTTGAGAGTCCTTTGGACTGCAAGGAGATCCAACCAGTCCATCCTAAAGGAAATCAGTCCTGAATATTCACTGGAAGGACTGATGCTGAAGCTGAAACTCCAATAGTTTGGCCACCTGATATGAAGAAGAGCTGACTCATTTGAAAAAACCCTGATGCTGGGAAAGATTGAAGGCAGGAGGAGAAGGGGACAACAGAGGATGAGAAGGTTGGATGGCATCATCAACTCTATGGACATGAGTGTGAGTAAGCTCTGGGAGTTGGTGATGGATAGGGAAGCCTGGCATCCTGCAATCCATGGGGTTACAAAGAGCAGGACACGACTGAGTGACTGAACTGAACTGAAAGAGTCTTTGCCTATACAGATATTTCAGTGCTTAGAAAGGCATGACCAGGGGTCAGGGTCTGCAAGTTGATCAAGAATGCACACGAGGAGAGGGAACTATATTCAATATTTGGTAATAAACCATAATGGAAAAGAAGATGAAAAAGAATGTGTGAGTTATTTTGATGTACACCTGAAACTAACATGACATGGTACCTCAACTGTATTTCAATAAAACATTTTTTAAAAAGAATCCACATGAGGAGTTGCCACAGGCTGCTTTCCCCCACTCTTCCCCTTTTCATACTCAAGTCTCAGCCCCTTCTAGGCTGACTTGACTCAGAGCAGAGTCACTGAGGCTTGAGCATCTACTTCCTCTACTCTTAGTTATCTGCAGCCCCGTACCCACTGGGGAACTTCCCAGGCCTGCTTTTGCGTGCAGGTGGGAGAATCAGCTAGTGTGAAACAGTAGAAAAAGGAAGCCTGGTATGAAACAGGGGTCCCAATAAGGCAAACTCTCTCAACTGCACATCCAGGCACTGAGTGTCTCTAGGACAGATTCATTGCTGCCTGCCTTAGCCCCTCTGAGCTCCAATCCCATCTAAACCACTGATAAACTGGTGGTGGCTTGGCTACATACTGGGTTGGCCAAAAAGTTCTTTTGGGTTTGTACATAGGATGGTACAGAAAAAGCCAAATTAACTTTCTGGTCAACCCTGTACTTACCTTTTCAAAGTCTGTTTCCTTGTCTATCATTTCCCCAGGAAATGAGGACAGTAAGAGCATGTCTTCCTTTTACAGGTTAAAAGAAACATGTCTGTCACAGATGCTCAATAGAAGCTAGGTCTTCCCTTTATTATGTTAGGATGCTTGAAAGCAATAACCATGGGTTTGTCATTCTAGTATTCCCGACTGTGTCTGAGATTGGCCCTCATACACAGTAGGTAATCACTGAATGATTGGCTTGAATCAAAACTCATTGAACTACAGCAGACCCTTTCACCTGATGAATCATTACCCTCCCTGGTTTGGGAATTTGTTTAATTTATGAGGGATTAAGCCATGGGAAACATCATTGCGGACATCCAAGACTACCAGCACTCTCAGAATGCTTTATATATGCTTGCAAAGATATTCAAAACTTTGGTGTATTTTTCAAGCTTGCTATAAATAATTGCACTATGAATAGTTATGAGTTGCGTACCAGAAACTAAAGTGGTACTGAGTGGTTTTTATCAAAGTGACTTCTGTTTTCACCTCTTATTCTCTCAACAGACAGGCTGATCACACCAAGATAGGGTCACTGTGCCTCTTAACAGAGCACCACGTCTGGGAACTGAGGGGCATAAAGTACTTGGCCTTGGAGTTTAAATACTCACTCAGCTCCATGGATGGCGAGACCAATGAAGAAGATCACAAAGAGATGGTGTGTGTACCAAAACACTTCAAAATAAGACCTCCGGATGGTTTTGGTGGAGGATGTGATAATTAATATCAGGCACAGTGTAATGACGACTCCGGTGATGCCTGCCAACCGAGTCACAGCCACATACAGGCCTCCTTCAGGATTCTGTAAAATACACAGACACAGACACAAACACACACACATTATTTGTATGCTCTCAGATGCAGGACTCCCCATCTATAGAGTGTCCAATGAATAGGGCAATAGGTATGTTCTTTCCCTCTTTAGATAATCCTAACCATCCCTCAACAGGGTGGTACAGACTTTGAATTGTTGTTGTTTAGTCTCTCAGCTGTGACTGACTCTCTTGCAACTCCATGGACTGTAGCCCACTAGGCTCCTCTGTCCATGGGATTCTCCAGACAAGAGTACTGGAGTGGGTTGCCATTTCCTTCTCCAGGGGATCTTCCTGACCCAGGGATCGAATCCATGTCTCCTGCACTGGCAGGCGGATTCTTTACCACTGAGCCATCAGGGAAGCCCATATAGACTTAAAATGGATAGTTCCAAATTAAAAGTCTTACATGGTTGAGGTGTCATCGGAAGTATCAATGATATACAGAAGTAGTTCTCAGATTCAGAAAAAAGGACATTTGTCAAATCTATGTCCTAAAAGGGTCAGAAGCTCTTTTCTCGCTTTGATTTGGAAAGTGTTATAATGCTTAGCTTGTAAAAGTCGTCTGGGCACACCACATCTTAGGCTATGTTCCTCCTGACCAGATCCTGAGATGAGGATTCATGGGTAAGTGATTTTGAAAGAATGTGCTCCTGAAGCAACTGGTAAGAGAACAGGAAAGAGGAACATGTCAAGTCAAATAAGAGGGTGTTGTTCAGTGGCTTAGTTGTGTCCCATGAACTGCAGACCACCAGGCCCCTCTGTCCTCCACTAGCTCCCAGAGTTTGCTCAGATTCATGTCCATTGAGTCGGTGATGCTATCTAACCATCTCATCCTCTGCTGCCAGCTTTTGTCTTCAATCTTTCCCTGCATCAGGGTCCTTTCCGAGAGGGTGATCTTAGGCCAAATCTTCAGCCTGATGCTGCAGGGAAACTGCCGAGGGTCAAACACACCTCAATGTTTATCCTGACTAGAGGCAAAGAAGCTGGGTTTTTATGGCCATCAGTTATTGGTTAAGACCCATCAGTTATTGGTTAAGACCAGCTCAGCGAGATAGCTACCTAGGCCCTTTCAGATCTTGGAGCTTGTGGGCAAAGGGCCTCCAGTAGCCCCAGGGCAATCCTCTGAGGAAGAAACACAAATACAGGCAATTGAAAATGAAAGCACACAGAAGGGCGGGGGAACAGAGATCAGAAGAGTGATCTGAGCCCAGCACTGTAGTGTCAGCTCACTTGATAAGTTCGCAGTGTCGCCTCTATGTATCATTGTATAAATAAAAGAAAAGTCATCCAAGACATCATAGAAAAAGAATTCCTATTTTATTTGATGCTGTTTAATTCTGTCCCTAAATAGATCACATTTTTTAATATCAGCCTGAGGATAATGATTTCTGCAAAATTAAAGTACTTTTTTGGTAATCTAAACAGACAAGAAAATGTGTTGGAATTCAGTGTATAGTGAGTGATTTGATTCAGCTATCCTACCCAACCACTGGGCACATGAAGATGATTTCGACCTTCTCCCTCTGAGCATAGAAGGCTCTAGCAACTACTGGAAGGGAAGAAGTCCTTGCCTGTGGATTGCCCATATGGCTGCTGCTGGAGCAATTAGCAGACAGAGGCCACCTATCAGATGTTGTAAGCAAGAAAGAGGAAAAGCATTGCTGATGGGTGTCAGCTGGTGGCTGACCTGGTATTAACACCTCAGCCAGAAGCTTCCCTATTTCACATAAACAGTTTCATAGGACACCAACATCAGACAAGGTCATTCTGTGACCTTGTCATTCAAGACCAGTCAAGACAAACACACGCATGACTGCTGCTTCTTAGCCTATTACAGACTTAGCCCCATTCTTCTGCCTCCTAGAAAAAAAATTATTAAGATACCTAATGCTGTAACTATCCCCAATACTGGACTGAATCTGACCCAGAGCAAATGCTTGTTTTCTGAAACCCCTCCCAAATCATCTGACACAAATCCCACAACAAGCCTTTCTCAACATCCTCCTGAGAAACCCCAGATTTCCTCAGAGTGTGAGGTTTCTTTGCTGCAGTATGTAATAAACCCAAGTTTGTTTGACTAGACGGTGTTCCTGGCTTTCTTTGACTGCTGGGCCTTGTCAAGGATAAGCCTGAGTTGCTCCAGGCTTCATGTATACTCGTTCTTACAGGCAAGTTTAAGAAACTGGAAAACATCTCGTGACCTTCCACATTTAGCATCAGGAGTATGGGAGGCATTTTCTCTGTGGCCACATTCTTAGAACCTACAGACCTGGCCCTCTGATATAGTCAGTCTACTTTTGTCCTTGTTGCTGTTCTGACCAAGTAAAATTGTTCATTCACTGAAATCTAATCCTCAGTTTTAATAGTCTAGAGAACATCTGAATTAGGAAGTTAGAGGCTTACCTTGATTCTCTGTCGAACAAAATTGAGGTAAGTTTCACCGGGCTTATCTCCAATGTCAGAGAGTGCTATTGAATAAGGATCAGAATTGTTGACTCGGGCATTCACACACCACTCCACATTAAATAGATGTGCAATGGTGTGAATTGCTAAAGAGGGCAGAGAAGAGAAACAAAGAGGGTGAGTGGTATACATAATTTTATTTGGAGCCGAGTTTCTGGCTACAGTCCCTATGTGTATGTGTGTCTGTGTGGTGCTCAGTCGTTCAGTCATGTCTGATTCATTGTGATCCCATGGACTGTAGCCTGCCAGCCTTCTCTGTCCATGGAATTTTCCAGTAAGAATACTGGAGTGGGTTGCCATTTCCTGACTCTATGATAAAGCAGTGAAGATTTGATAAGGATCCCTTCTTACACCAACACCACTTTCTTAATAATTATAGTAATAAAACAAAATATTTAACACATATAAATACATGAATACTATTATACATACATATATAAACAATAATAAAAATAAAATGTTTAGCTCATAATGTCTATCTTTGATTCTCAATTTATGGGCTATGGTCCTTGTAGGGTTACTGCAAGAAATCCATGGATCTATATGTTCAACCAAGTATTTTTTTTTAATGAAAGCACTATTTTAATAACTAGGCAGCTGTTATGACAAATATTCATCAATAAAAGAATAAATAAATAAATCATAGTATGTTCAAACAGTGCTCAATGAATCAACAATGAGAATGAATGAACTACATGGACAGGTCTCAGAAGCTGATAGTGAATGGAGGAAACCTCTGTATAATCATATACAGCATAATTTGATTTATATAAAGCTGAAAGTAAGAGTAGCTATTCAAGGGAGTTAGTCATCAGGATGGTGACTCTCTGTGATGGGGGTGACTTAGGAGCCCAGAGAATGAGCTGCAGCCTGATAATGTTCCATTTCTTGATCTAGACTGTTATTGCTTCAGTTCAGTCGCTCAATCGTGTCAACCAAGTATTTTTTTAAAAATGAATGAACAAAAGTTCTTATATGTGAACTAACAGTTTTCACATTAAAAAGTGTGGAAAAGGGGGAGTGCACTGGGATTTTATCAGAAGAGCCTTAGGGAATAATGTTTTAAGACCTGAAGGAATAAATCCTAATGTTGGGATGGCAGAAAGAGTGTTGAATATTTTTCTAACAGAACTCGTTCAAAAAAATATCTCAACCTACCTTCAAAGGCTGATCTCTTATTTTAAACGTATCTTAGAGGGAATACTCTGGTTTCAAGTTTTCTTTGCAATCTCAAATATCTGAATGAACTTACCAGTGTGAAGTGCAATCATCCATGCCACCATTTTATGAAAGGTGAGGTTCCTGTCCAGTTGTCTCCGAATTCTTGTTGAGCAGCACTTTGGATTAAAGGGAAAAATAGTAATTGTTAACAAGAAAGTTTTCTCTGTGTCAGATATTAGACACATTTTCTCATTTAATTATTACAACCAATTCTCTAAAAAAAAAAAAACAAAGCTATATCATCCTACCCATTTGACAGATAAGAAAACTGAGGCTCAGATAGGTCAAATAGCCAATGAGTAGCATGGTTGGCTTAAGCAATGTTTTAGGTTCTCATACTATTAACATGAAAAGCCTCGCATGGAATTCATTGCTTAATGGTATAAAATACGAATTTGGACAGAAAGCATCAAACTATGTAGCTTCTAGTTCAGATTAATTTACTCAATAAAGAGAGGATATAGAAATTTTATAAGGACAGGGATGCCCTCAAAGATCCAAAGGTCCAGTGGGGACACAGACAAATGAACAGTTCTACAACAAGTGAATAGTTTTAGAATAGCACCCTTCCAGGAAATACACACTATGAGAAGTAGAAAAGCGTCCACCTGCACATGTTGATAGAGACAACAAAACAAGGGAAATCATTAAAACAATCGCAGCAAAAATAATAATAGCCAAGGGTATTTACAAAGAGCTTGTGCAGAAGTGTTTTACATGCATTGACTCATTTCATTCTTACATTAATTCTATGTGGGAGGTACCACTGTTATCACCACATGACAGGCATAGAGAGGTTACCTTCCCCTAGGTTTCATAGTTAATAAGTGACAGAATTGGCTGGGGTCTAAACCCCAGTTCCCTGATGCTAGAAATATCAACAATCCGATATTTCATACCTTTTATGATTACCTTGGCATTACAATGGAATTATGGCGAATTGGTTAGTGTAATTTTCTTACGAACATATGTTAGAGGCTGTGGGTTTCAATGCTTCAATCTGGATTCAGGTCATCGCCCAAAATAGAGAAAAAACCCTGCTTTTTGGTTGAATCGGAACCTTGTTTTCCTGAAAAGGAGTCAAGTGCTTGCTCTTGCTGCTTTGTTTCCAAGGGTAGATGTACTGGCATAAAGATTCAGAAAACTTTCAAGGAGACCAAAGTGAAAAAACCCCAAAACAAAACAAAAAACTTAGGTATTATAAATAACTGGTTCTAAACATATTTAATTTCAATACAGGGGCATTAAATATTTGACTTACTTATTTTTAATAAAATATTCTGGTTTTACAGAAAAAATAGAATTACATGGAAAACTGCTTACTCCACTATCTTGGAGTTAGTTACATTTAGGGAGGGTAGGCCAAATGGACCATGAAAGCAGATTGCTGAAACTGCAGAAATACTAGTAAGGAAGACACATGATTCCAGAAAAAGGGAAACAATTAGGCTTTGAGTGCCTTCTATGAGCCAGGCAGCTTATCCATAATCACTACACCATTTAATATAACCAGATAAATATTACTATTTTCATTTTACAGATAACAAAACTGAAGCTTCCCAGATGGCTCAGTGGTAAAAAATCTGCCTGACAAGTAGGAGACCCGGGTTCGATCCCTGGGTAGGAAAGATGCCCTGGAGAAGGGAATGGCAACCAACTCCAGTATTCTTGCTTGCCTGGAGAACCCACATGGACAGAGGAGCCTGGTGGGCTACAGTCCATGGGGTTGTAAGAGTCAGACATGACGTAGTGACTAAACCACCACCATATACATTTTATTAAAAGGAAAAATAGAGACTTGTAATCACTAATGAGTTAGTAGAATGGGGTCTTACTAGGGTACCAATCCCTCATTTTTTTCCTAGCCACCCTCTATAATGTGGTCAGAAATGGCAAACACATCCAAAGAGAAGCCATACATCATAATTATACCAGGCTTCCAGATCCAATTTCCTCATTGTTTCCTGACAAGGGGTGGGGGGGGGGCGGGTGAGATGGTTGGTTGGGAAGGGAGGGCTTTGCTGCCTGTGACTTCCCAGGGCTTTATTCTTCCTCACTACTATGCAGATACAATTTTTATGATTTTGAGTCACTTGTGAATTACCACCAGCCACCTACTAATGACCCAAGCTGCCATCATGCACCATAGCTTCTTCACTGAATGACCAGTGACTTCGTTTTTTTAGAAAAATATTTATCTATTTGGCTGTGCTGGGTCTTAGTTGTGGCATGAGGGATCCTCAGTAGAGGCAGGCAGGATCTAGTTCCCCAATCAGGGATTGAACCCTAGGCTCCTGTGTTGGGAGCATGGAGCCTTAGCCACAGGACCATCAGGGAACTTCCACTCCATTGACTTATAATGGGGAGGTCCTCTGTTACTGTCAGCTAGAGCCTTGCTCAATCTCAATAAGCTAACATTCAAGTGCAAGGGAGATTACTCAGTCACCTTGGCAGATTTCTATGCTTGATTCAAACTGCAAGAGTAAAAAAAATTTTAAAAAATTGAGAAACAGAACTACAAACTACAGAACTACATATTTAATGGAGCATAACATTAGCTTCTGTAACATGAGTGTTACGGAAACTTTAAAGTTCTATTTTATGTACACCTGGTCTCACCACAAATGCCAGAAATGAATATGAATTAGATATTTATATGCAATTTGAGAGAAATTGCAAAGCCAGCCTTGACTCTACAGAACTCAGGCAAAGAAGCTGACAGAAACCTGGAAGCATTAGAATATGCTATAAATATGAAGATCACCACTGGATTCGTATAGCACTGTCTATAATTTTAAAATTCCATGTTTATCTTCTATCTCTTCCATAAAACTCTAAGCTCTCTGAGCTCATGGCTCATCCATGTCTTACCCTCTACTCACTATGTGTCCCTGTGCTTAGCACATAGTTGGCACTCAACAAATATTTGTTCACTGACAACTCACTAGTTGACAGACTTAGTCAATCAATACACTTTTAGAATATCATTCATATCTGTTCTCACATTCACATTATTTCATTTGCTTTTTAGCTAAAAACAGCAACAAAGAGAAGGAAAAAAAAAAACCAGCTACGAGACAGGAAGTCTAAGAGCCTTGCCCTGGACCACATGTTAGATAGAGGGCTACATTGAGAGCCTCTGACTCTCAGGCTATATAAGGTTATAGAAAAGAGCTCACTCTCTCACGTTTCTGTTTCTTTCCTATCTTCAGACTAGAACTTCCATCCAAGCTGAGGTTGTTAAGGTTTGTTTAGGGACTTCTGTCTGCTGAGTCCCACCATTCCCCATTTCCCTCAACAGAGCAGGCTCAGAGTGTTTACCCCTATCTTCCCTGGGAAAGGCCAACCCTGGGACTTTCTTTCTCCAGCTAACCAGAAGGATTATAAAGCCAGCTCTAAAGGATTAAGACCATTAGACACTGAAGTTCTGTGACTGTTTAGTTTTCATAAAGGCCAACTAATAAATCCTTGAATCTACAACATCTTTGCCACTTCTAGGTTAATTTATTCAGCCTGCCCAAACATTCATATATTTGATGGACTTCCTAAGACCACAGGAGTTTTGAGTTTAGGTGGCAAGTGGGAAAGTGGACAGGCTGTGGGGGCACAAATGCCTGGGTTGGAACCTCAAACACTCTCATTGAATTTCATCCCCACCTCACTGGCCTGACATGCAGATTTCATGGAGGTAAGGTTTATGAAGATTCAGTAAGTTGCAGCTGTTACCGTTACCAGTGAGTCACAGTATGTCCACTCATTTTAATTGCAATCAGAAAAGAAGTTTCTTTGCCAAGTTCACATTTCAGGTTGGGAAATCTGCAAGGAAGGACACACCCCATCTATAAAAGAATGCTACTTGCTCCTCCTTTTTGAAAAATGCATTCTTTGATGTACAGGTCTCTCTAGCTAGAGAGCTGAACTTCTCTGCAATTTGAAGAATAGCCTCATTTCACCCTTGTCTTTAGAGACCCTCATGAGAATCTTCACTCCCTTTAGGTCACAGGAAGCCTAAAAGCGGCCATTACAACATGTGCTGATAATAGCCATGAAATGGCAGTGCAATTTGAGCCTGTGGAGTAACAAGGATTTCTTAACAGGCTGTCCTGGTGAAAACACTGCCTGTTTCTTAGGGTTTGCTTCCTCTAAATAGAAACTATTTGAACAGGAGGTATTGGTGGAGAATAAAACAGCTACAGTCCCTGAATTTCATTTAGAAAATGTCCAGATGTTGTACTTTACAGGTCGCCCTTCAAGAAAACTTTTCAATTGCCATATGGTCCAGCAATTCCACTCGTTGGCATATATCCAGACAAAACTATAATTCAAAAAGATATGCACCCCTATGTTCATAGCAGCACTGTTTACAGTAGTTGAGACATGGAAACAACGTAAATAAATGCTCATCAGCAGATGAATGCATAAAGAAGATGTGGTACACATATACAATGAAATATTACTCAGCCATAAAAAAGAACAAAATAATGCCATTTATAGCAACATAGATGCACCTAGAGATCATCATACTAAGTGAAAAAAGTCAGAAAGAGAAAGAAAAATCCCATATGATATTTATATGTGGAATCTAAAATATGACACAAATGAACCTATCTACAAACCAGAAATGGAATCACAGAAATAGAGAACAGACATGCGGTTGCCAAAAGGTAGGAGTGTGGGGGAGGGATGGAGTTTGGCATTAGCATATATAAATTATTACATTTAGAATGGATGAACAACAAGGTCCTACTGTATAGAGCAGGGAACTATATTCAATGTCCTGTGATAAACTATAATGGAAGAGAATATAAAGGAAAATGTATGTATATATATAACTTAGTCACTTTGGTATACAGCATAGATTAACACTGTAAATCAATTATACTTCAATAAAAAAGAAAACTTTTCCATCAAATGGAGTTCTACCTCTGTGGTTTCTTAGGTTAAGATTATTTTGGAAATCCTTGTGATCAATGTGTTACTTATGGCTTGTTAACCCTATATTTGTAAATCAAGTGTTTTATAGTTCTTAAAGAAAAAAAAATCTCCTTAGGATCAATGTGAATTTAGTAAGACCAGGGAAAAGCGAGGTAGAGTTCAAGGCAAGTTCTAATTGTTATTGACAGTTTAGATCACTTTCCGTCTCCCACGGAGTCATTGATTACCAATTAAGATTAACACCTAAGCTATACATTTCAGGTCCAAGTTTACTAGCAAAACTCCAACTTGACCTCAGGTATCTACCATTTAAAATCCTTACACTCTCATCAAAGTAGATTGCTTGCTTCTCTCCACTATAAATGACTTCTATTTAATAGGTCATTTTAAAAAAAGCTAGTTAATATAAAAGGAACATTTTATTAAAAGGAAAAACAGAGGCTGCATGCATGCTAAGTCATGTCCAACTCTTTGCAACCCCATGAACTGCAGCTCACCAGGTTCCTCTGTCCGTGGGATTTTCCAGGCAAGAATACTGGAGTGGGTTGCCATTTCCTAATCCAGGGAATCTTCCTGACTCAGGGATTGAACCTGGGTCTCCTGCATTGCAGGCAGGTTCTTTACCACTGAGCCAGCAGGGAAGCCCCCAAACAGAGGCAACTAGTCACTAATGAGCAGTGGAATGGGTCCCCCCAGGCATCAGTCCCTAAGTCTGGAAGAGCTACCCTCTGTGGTGTGGTCAGGAATGGCCAGCACAGCCAAAGAGAAGCCACAAGTCATGGTCACACAGGACTTTCAAGAATATGATTTCTTCACCATTTCCTGTGCTTTATATCTCCTACAGGCTTATTTTTATCCTTTATGCCCATACCTGATGCTACCTTCTCTAAGAATTCTTTTTCAGCCCCTGCACCACCTGATATAATTTCCTTTGCCTTTGCTTGATTCCCTGTAGCTCCTTCTTTGTAACATTTTGTGGAACCCATCACATTTTGCTTTGTATCATATTTGAGTATGTATGTAGATTCCAAGTTCCTTGCTTCTCATCTTTGTATAACAATAAGAAATTCGTATACCATTTTACAGATTACAAAAGTTCTTCCTACATAATCTTTTTTTCTTCCAGCATAGTATATTAGGGGTTCAGTAGACTGTTGAAGTGAGGGTGAAAGAGTCTGGGGCATTTAGAAAGCTCTGAACTCCTCAATTCCATGGACCAAACACCTGTCACATTCATTGCATAGTGACTCATGGCTCATTCATTGTTCCCATCTTCTTGGGATATTATCCACCAAAGAGAGTTTCTCTGACTTAAACATTTTGAAAAACATGACACTATGAGATTAATCCCCAAATTTCACATCAGTCTCATAAATTTCTATATGTATGTATATATACAGATATGTCATATTATGTATATCTCTCTCTCTGTGTGTGTACATGTACTTTTTTGCTATTGTGGAGGTATAGGTAGATTGGTTGTTTTGTTTTTTTGTGGGGGGTTGTTTTGTTTTCAATGTCTGTTCCAGGTTAAAAGGTTGTCTCAGGGAGCTCCATTGACAGATAATATAAAAATAGAGAATCAAGCATGGCTTGATTGTAAATGAATATTGTACAGTGGTTGGAATTCTTATAAACCCTCGGTTTGCTTTTCTTATAAAAGGGCGTTGAGCTTGATGGCCTTCGAGATTTTGAGGAACTCAAACTTTGTAAACGTTGGTTCTTACCGCACTGGAACCCCTGAGGAAGGAGAGCAGATTTCGACAGACAGGCAGCAGAATCAGCATGCAGTTGAAATTCAGGCAGGCTGCAGGGGCTCTGGCCAGGGCCAGTGCTGACTGAAAAGGGCAGGATGAAAAGCAGGTGATTCTTGTGAGCCCAGAAAACTCCCCCATCTCACTCCAGCCCCCCAACCTCCAGGCTTCCCAGCAAGCACGAGGACCATACTCCAGAGACATCAAGTTATCTGGGAATGAAGGTTCTTCAGAGCCAAGGATTTATTTTTAAGGCCTTGCTCCCCACCCCAACATTTTTATTATGAACATTTTCAAACACAAAGAGAATCTGAAATAATTTCACAATGAATACCTGTTTATTCATCTCCCAGATTCTACCTTTTACATTTTATGAAGCTTGCTTTAGCATGTCTATTAATCTATCCATTCATCTGCCTACTTCTGTATCCATCCATCCATCAATGCATCTTATTTTTGATGCGTTTCCAAGTTGCAGACATCAGTTCACTTCCTCCTAAATACCTCAGTATGCATATCATTAATTAGAGTTCAGTATAGAAACTGGGGCTTTGTAAAGAAGATTTTCTTAGCACTTAGACTAACCTCAACAGTAACTAAGTTGGTATGGTGTAATGCTTTGGCATTAAAACTGTTCCTTATAAATCCATGGCTAATTCATGTCAATGTATGACAAAAACCACTACAATATTGTAATTAGCCTCCAACTAATAAAAATAAATGAGGAAAAAAAAACTGTTCCTTGTAATGTCTAAAGAAACTGCATATATGCAATTAAATATGGGGGGAGGAAAATGCAAAAGGAAATCATCCTTTTCAGCATCACCCTGAATAAATTAACAACAATTATAATAACATAGTATAATTATATGCTATAAGTATTTATGTATATGATGCATAATACATATTATAATTAGTATCATTAAGTAATCAATTTGTGGTTTCAGCATGATGTAACAAATGACATCCTCTGAGGCAGCCCTAATTGTAATTATTTCATTTATGATGAAGGAGAACTCTGGCAGTTCAAGGAAACTGAGAATGCTAATAGACCCAAGGAAAGGCAGGGGCCTTTGCTCCGCCAGTCTAGTCAACGGATGTGACCTTTGGGCAAGTTCCTCAAAGGCTCCATATGTAGGGGGAGGCTTATTTCCTGAAGATTATTTCATAACATGTCACTAGGGCTTTTCATGCAAAAAAGTAGTAGGAATTGATGATTTAGAGAATACAGACAGTCCCACTTGTGCTACCTGTATCACCCTGGATGGATCTCTTCAAGCTGGCCACCCATTCCAGAGTCAGTATTAGATTTCTCCTTTAAGCTAAACAGGTGCACAGTAGTTCTTGGGAGGGGAAGGTTGCTGGGACCTTCTGCCAGCCTTCTGTTTGTCCCACACTGGAAGACCTAAAGACTCTTGCTCAGGGGGTTACAATGGAGGGACTGAGGCCGATGGTGCTGTTGGGTTGGTCAGAATATTTCTTTAAAATGTTAAGAGGAATAGGAACAAGAATCTCTGATTAGACATGGGAGCCAGTCAATACCATGGGAAATGGAACTTATACTTACCCCAAGAAGTTTTCGAGTGTAAAAGAACTTATCTGGGATATCATAAACCCGGTAGTACCAGACAAAGAGGAAGACGTTCATCCCCAGCCATACCAGCTGCACAAATAGAAATGGTTGCGTGAAGTTTTCAAGTTTCAACAGGCAAATTTCACACCAAGTTGGAGTCAGACCAGGGTCAGGACTTCCCCATGGACAGCCCTCAGTAAAGGTGGTTACAAAGCTGGGTGGAACCAGCTTTGAACCAGCTCTTTCCTGCCAAGGTGTCTCTGCACTTTGGTAGTAACCTTTCCACTCTGTCTTGTCCCCTGTGACTGACTGTTCTACTACTTGGCCACTATGCTGTTATTATCTATCTCTTCTTGTTTCTTTCTCCTCCTCTTAGGTTGATAGATGATAGCAAGTGACTCAAAGGGAAAGGAATCTGTTACTATGCTGTTTCTCACACCAGGAGGACTCTGTGTTTGATTCTCAATTCTCACAGGTGGAAGATCTCCCTCTGTCACACAGCATCTTGCCCCAGTTAGCGGGACTCTCCTCAGTCTTTAATTCTACTTGATGAATTTTGCTTCAAGTGAGCATCAATGAGGGGATGACTGCATGCTAAGTTGCTTCAGTTGTGTCCGGCTCTTTGTGACCCTATGGACTGTAGCCTGCCAGGCTCTTCTGTCCATGGGTTTCTCCAGGCAAGAGTACTGGAGTGGGTTGCTATGCCCTCGTCCAGGGGATCTTCCCAGCCCAGGGAATGAACCTGCATCTCTTGTGTCTCCTTCATTGGCAGGCAGGTTCTTTACCACTGCACCACCTGGGAAGCCCAAGGGGATGAGAGGCATGGGATTTATTATCATCATTATTATTAAAAGGAGATCCTTCTAGACTGTGAGTGTTCATTTCATCTCAAGCACTGACTGCATCCAACAATGACCCTGCCCGGTGCTCTACCTTAGGTCCCCAGTGGCTATCTTTTCTTAACTGTGCTTTCAGCTTATTTAATGTCCTTCAATGCTGGAGAACAGTCTCTTTTTACAAAGAAGGTGCTAAAACCACTTCTCCATTTTCTAACTTTGTCATGTTTACTCTTGATTTCCAAGCTATGTCTTCACTTTCAAGTATATGAATGCATAATTTAGATAGAGGTCATTTCCCTGGGAAAACTGTGGTAAGGGCTCAAAGTATAATTTGAACTTAGTTTCAATAGGAGTCATCTGTTCTTAAAACAGAAATGAGAAATCAACTTAAGAGCTTTGAGTCCTCAGAACAATTCTGTATTTCATTAGTGTTAATTTGGCTTGATTTTTTTAAATGAAAAAGATAATGTGGCTTTTATTTTACTTGTGCCACTTGTTTCTACCTCTCCAGTTAAAATAGTCATATTTACTTCATGAAAAATTCTTTCAAAAATTTCATTCATAGGTGTCCTTTTAAAAAATCTGAATAATACTTTTATTGACTACTGAAAAAGCTACTTATAAATCATATTTCTATAATCCCAACCATCTGTGATTGCTTTGCTGAGACCACCACCTTAAAATAATAGTTTATATTTGTTATGTCAAAAACTAAAGAAATCAACGTGTCTATTAGAAAAATCACCATAACTTTACTTAAAAGTTGTTTCTCATGACACATTATATTAATTTACATGTAACTATGTGTAATATATATCATACAAACATTATACACATATATCTAGTTTACTTCAATTCCTTTTCCTTGACTTTTTAAAAAAAACTTCACAAATAACTTAAGTTTACCTCAGAAGAAAGAAGATACTTCTTTAAAAGAGAAAATTGAGAAATTCAATTATTTTTGGTGTAATTACTGAACATACAGGCCAATTTCTTGTACATCAGCCAATCTTGTGTTTATTATTTGGAAAACTGTATAAAGTTTCAATTGCCCATTTTTAGGTGGTATAAGTACATGAAAAAATAGAAAAATTTGCTTCTGAATTAACATTGTAACCAATTCATATTCAGGGATCGTTATCATGAAATGTCTTCTACTCCCACTGTGAAATGCTGGCTAATTTAGTACTTCTAAAAAATTCCAGAAATAAACTAGGCAAAGTGAGCCCCTAGATGCATTCCTTCCATGAGTAAATTTCGAAGAATGGACTCATTCTGTATCCATCAGATGGATGCATGCTCACATAAATAAGTTTCAACACAATTTCTCAAATGAATGAAATAAAGCTTTGCTCTATTTTCATTTTCAAGAGAACGTAGACAAGTTAGAGAATTTGTAATTTCTTTCTTATTTGTACTTACAATGACAAAGATGGAGATGCCCTCATTCACAGCCCAGTTCCCCATGGTAGCAGAGGTTCAATGCCTCGAGTTTGCCTTTCTTCTCTGCTATGCTTCTTCTTCCCATGAGGAAATGAAAACAGCAGCCTTGGGGCAATCTGTTTCCTTTTCTATTATCAGAAATTAGCTAATCATTGGTCAACTGAAAAGCTTGTTTCCATAACAAATTTAAATCTTCAAACCACAAAAAAAAAGACAGAAAAAAAGTCTACAATGATCCAATCACAATTAAACATAATGAGAAATGAAACTAATTTCTCCAATGGAGAGACAAATAACAGTGTAATTCATGGTGAATTACACAGTGATTTAATTTTTGGACTGACTGGTTAGCAAATGGCAATTTTCTAAAAGTCACCCAACTAGCCATGACTTAGTGTTAGGTAAAAAAAAATAATTAGATAGATGTGATCTTTTTTGATAGGCTGGAGCAGCATTTATAATCTTACTGAGAAAAATAACAATAGTGATGGCTGATATTTATACCATGCTTATGCCAATTTTCTAAGATACATATGTGTGTATACATATGTACACACACACACATACATATACACATATAAAAGTTGATACACATCTATATGTGTGTCTACACACAAAGGCACCCATATACACACATATACAAATTCAGTATGTAAATAAACTAATTTGATTCTAATATTCCACCTTATAAAGTAGTTTCTATTATTATGATTACATTTACAGATGAGGAAACTGAGACCCAGAGCAGTTAAGTTATTTGGCCAAGGTCATGCAATTAGGAAACTGTGGAGTTGGGATTTGAAACCTAAATAATTTGGCCATACTTTTACCATGATACCAAAATAAAAAAGCCTGACAGTGGCAACCCCATCCCAAATCACTTCCAAAACAACTATGGGAAAAGAAAACAACAAACAGGCCAAAATGTTTGGATGGCTGTAGTAGTCCCAGGTTGACAGACAGTTTTTCTAGGCAGGCTAGGTAAACAGGGTCAGAACAAAGGTATGTTCTAGGTGGTGGATGTCAAAAGTCTGATTTAGCATTTTTTCCCCCCCTGACTCCCATCCAGTCTTCAGGAAATGAAAGAGACACAACGGTAGGGTGGTTAACGCCACTGTGAGTTCAAAGTTGACTAATTGCATCAAGGTGGTTGTACAACAGCTAGAGCAGAGAGAGAGATAAAAGAAGAAACTGGAGGAGCAAACGGGAAAAAGAGAAGAAAAAAGAGAAAGAGAGGCCTGAACTATTTGGGTTGGTGTCTGCTGAAGCACTTGAGACAACCTGCAGAATTGTGACCATGAGTAAAGTAATTCTTTTTCACCTTTTAATATTTAAGGAAAGGCACTCAACTGTGACTTTCTGCATGGCTCTTGAATCATGCGTAACCCACATCAAGGACAGTCAGCTTCATGGTTCAGTTACACACAGAGATGAATTCAAAGAAACACAGACAATCAAGTTATGTGTCAGTAATTTGCCTCTCTGCTCTGGGATCTATTCCTCACCCTTTCTTTGTTCTGTTTTAGAGAGAGTTGTATTTGCCAGGCTCCTTGGCCCTCTGGCTTCTGGGATGGTCAGTCAAACTGGAGGATGAGGAGCAGGCAGGCGTCACAGTGCTTCTTCCCCTGGCTTGCAGCTTCAAGAGGTGTCTCAGAAGTGCTTGCTTTTAACCAGAAACTCCAGCTCCTACCAGTCAGCCTTTCTCCCTGTGGCTGAGCTCCTGCTGGTCATCACCACTATAGGTCCAGCTCCTACCAGATGGCCCTCGCTTCTGGGCTTGAGTTACACCAACTCCTCCCAGGTTCCCTCCAATCCGGAGGGCGGTCACCACTTCCTGTAGCTGGTAATCTTTTTGTTGCCTCTGCACCCACAATGGGATTCTCCACTTTCACGTCATCCATGTAACAAATCCCTGGTATGAAATTCCCTCTGTTGAAACAGGGTGGTTTCTGTTTTTCTGACTGGACTTTGCCTGATACAGAAAGTAATTCAGACCTGTACTCATTTTCTCATGGAATTAAAAAAGTGAGGCATGTATGCCTAAAGAGGAATAAAACACTTTAAAATCTGCTCTCTCCCTTCATGCCACTCTCAAACTCTTCCACAGGGGTGATTCCTGCTTCATCAGGGTCTTTGAAACTTACCCAAGTAGTCCCATCGATAGATGAAAGGATGAAGAAGATGTGCTACATAAATACAATGGAATATTGTGCTATGCTTAGTTGCTCAGTTGTGTCCGAATCTTTGTGACCCTATGGACTGTAGCCCACCAGGCTGTATAGTCCATGGGATTCTCCAGGCAAGCATACTGGAGTGGATTGCCATGCTCTACTCCAGGAGATCTTCCCAGCCCAGGGATCAAAGCCAGGTCTCCTCGACTGTAGGCAGCTTCTTTACCATCTAAGCCAGCAGGGAAGCATATTACTCAGCCATAAAAAAGGAAAGAAATGGGGTCATTTATAGAGACGTGGATGGACCTAGAGTCTGTCGTGTGACTGAAGTAAGTCAGAAGAGAAAAACAAATATCATGTATTAACACATATATGTGGAATCTAGAAAAATGGTTCAGATGAATCTATTTGCAGGGCAGGAATAGAGATGCAAATGTAGAGATCGGACGAGTGGACATGGTGGGGAGATGGGATGAATTGGGAGATTAGGACTGACATATGTACATTACCATGTGTAAAACAGACGGCTAGTGGGAACCTGCCATATAGCACAGGGAGCTCAGCTTGGTGGTCCGTGGTAACCTAGAGGGGTGGGGTGGAGTATGTGTGAGGGAGGTCCGAGAGAGAGAGGTTAAACATAAAGCTGATTCACTTCATTGTACAGCAGAAACCTACACTACATTGTACAGCAACTATACCCCAATTAAAAACAAAAACAAAACAAAACTTGCCAAAGTCTTCCCCTCTCCACCCCTCCCCGCTTCTCTCTTTCCTAACCTACTGGCTGATCGTCCCTTTGCCCTACCTATCTTAAACTTCAAGTCTCCCCCACATTTTGTCATCTGCCTCCCGAGGACCGTGCTCTGCTGGGGCAGCAATTGCGAGGGGACCATAGATACTCATATACTAGGAAAGAATGCTCCTTGAACATTTCCTAACTCCTTTCCCTTCCCTCCACAGTTTGAGAAGAAAATTCAAAAAAGAAAGAATATTTTTATGGGTGATCAACCATTCCTTCCTATGGCTTCTTTTTTCTCCTTTATAAAAGTAATCACAGGGCTGTGAGTAGAGATGTCTTGAGAGACTTAACCTCAATCAGTTTCACAGCTGGAGGAAGAGAGCTCAGTTGCAATGAAGAGTAAAATCTTTCTTTTATAGCAAGTAACTTCCCTTTTGAGAACACTGTTCAAGTTAATTTCAATGTGCTCTGCTCTTGAAAAGACAAGCAGAAAGTTTGATAAAGGAGCAACAGGTATTGGTTGACTGGTATTGACTGGACATAGAGAATGAAGAAAATTGAACCTCTATGTATCACCTAACAGTTTATCTTCTCCCGGTCACTTGGGCTTCCATTGCCTCCTAAGCTGTTAGTGTCAAGTTAGACTGTGATGAATGCAAGAAAGTGTTCAACCCTTCCAGCAGGCAGTAATGACAATGACCAACACCATCAGCTTGTGATTGAAATCCTAGACCCCTCTTGCGGAGGGAAAAAAGAGAGCAGCAGACCCATGTCTCCAGGAGATCCCTAGATTTTGCATTCTGAGTATAATTCTTTCCCAATTTGTCAAATTAAAAAAGCATGTGAAAATGAAAGTTGCTCAGTCATGTTTGACTCCTTGCGATCCCATAGACTGTAGCCTGTCAGGCTCCTCTGTCCATGGAATTCTCCAGACAAGAATACTTAAGTGGGTAGCCATTCTCTTCTCCAGGGCATCTTTCTGACCCAGGGATCGAACTTGGGCCTCCTGCATTGCAGGCAGATTCTTTGCCATATGAGCCACCAGGGAAGCTTTGTCAAATTAAAAAAAAAAAGTATACTAAAGTTATTTCCAGAAGGATGTATGGAATGGTGAAGAAAAGCAGGTATGTTACTGCACCAAGATTCCTGAGAAATTTCATTCCTGGTAATGAGGAAAAATGGATTTCTATTCCTATTATCGCTACTGTGCAAGCTATTCTTTTCAGAACTACCATGTTCCCACTCTCTATGCACCCATGAGTTACGTGGCCCCACTTCCCTTGCTTAAGGATGACTAATGAGAGGACTTCATCCTCCTGGAAATAGTAACTCAGGGATGGGTATGACCCAAATGAGGCCAACGAGAGTTCTTTTTGCACAAGGAGGGTGCAAAAAGGGTCTATGGAGGCGAGAGAGTGAAGCTTTTAGGGTCTATGGAGGCGAGAGAGTGAAGCTTTTAGGGTCTATGGAGGCGAGAGAGTGAAGCTTTTAGGGTCTATGGAGGCGAGAGAGTGAAGCTTTTAGGGTCTATGGAGGCGAGAGAGTGAAGCTTTTAGGGTCTATGGAGGCGAGAGAGTGAAGCTTTTTTCTTTGTTCTTTGTGAATATGCATGTCTGTGGCTGCCACTGACCATCTCTACTATTTGTGCCAAGAAGCTGCATAAGAATCATGCTAACACAAAATCAGATCAGTAGTTGGGGAAGCAGCGAGAGGTCTGGAGACAAATATAACAGCATTTGCTTTCTGGGTCTGATCTACCTGAGACACTTGGATATCTCAGTTATTCTTACAGATTGGGTTCCCTGGAAGTACATTCCAAGTTGGAGATGAGTGCTCAGGAGTTTGATCTGAGAGTGTCTTTGGAGGCACACGCCCGCATAAAGGAAGGAAAAATAAGAAAACAGCAGTGGGCAGAAGGAGAAGCTGAATTATCATGTGGTCATAAGAAGGCCTCAGCAACCCTGTGGGGAGATGTGAAGCTGGGATGAATGCATGATCTTGGGCAAGACGGTGCTCTTCACTAAGACACTCCCTGGAGGTGTCGACAGCAGGGGAGTAAGTCTTTCACTTTTGAAGTTGCCACATTATAGTATAAAACCCAGTTACACAAGCCATAAATTCCCATTTTTAAGGGGAAGAAAAAACAGCTTGCGTTGGCTTTCTACCA